GTTGAATAAATCAGCTGAACTCCAAAACGCTTTCGTCTTCTTCTTATTCGCATTTCAAGCTTCTCAACTTAGTGTTCTAAATGCACTCTCAAAGTTATTAATTGAGAGCTTTCGATGCCAATACCAATGCATGAATCTGTATATTGTGTGGCAAACACAATTATACCAACAATCAATAAGAAACTAACGATTTTAAATTGGCTCACTACTTGACTAGCCTATTGGTCCCAAGCAAACCATTAACGCACCCCATTCTAGTCGAAATTCTAGTACTACGCAATGTTTGTTTTGATTCGCTATGAAAGTTTGACAGATAAAATGAGGGTTTATTGGCTTTTCCTATGTTTCGAGGGGTGATCAAACAGCTGCTCTGTAGGCAACACTGTATTTTGCAGTGGAACATAGTAGCCATGATTTTTGTGTCCTTTTCAACGCCCCATAAACACCAATGTTGCCTGCTGAGCAGTTGATTGAGCATGATCAGAAGACATCAGCGCATTCACCATTGATAACACGAAGACGGCAGGACGTGCAAATGTGAAAACCAGTATTCAATCCTGATGCTTCAGAATATCCAATCGATTTTAATTTCTGGATGGTAATATTCGAAATATTCCTCAGCTCTTTCGAGCACTTGACTTCCTCGAACGGCCGAATGCACCTGATAAAACATGCTCGTTCACTCATGTTGCTTCCTGTATTAAAAAAAATTAAAAATAATAATCTTTAAAAATGATTTCATTGAAATACAACTGAAGGTAATGCTTACCTTTTAACGAAGACTACAAATCAAGAAGACTGGCAACTGTTCCCTTCTCCCATACAAATGTCAAACGTCACTGATAACAGCGCCTCTATCAATCAAAGGTGCAACTTTGAAACACAAGTGTTAGTGAGACTGCTCATAAACAGTGACTGTGTGTGTGTGTGAACTAATGTCACCGAATGAAGAATCATAACATGGTACTCGTTGTTGTTTTTGTTTTGCTCTACAAAATTTCATGGCAATTTGTATCCTAATCCTAGCAAGCCGGTGGTTTTCCAACTCCAAAACGAAAAACTTGTCATGGTGGATGATGTTGAGGATTGAAACTCGGATCGATACCTAGTGAAAGTAACTTTTGCTTATGAACGAGGAACCGAAATATTGTTTATTTAGCTTGTTTGAAGCAATAAATTAAAAGGAATTGTCAGCCACCATTGAGTGAACTACCGTCATTCGGAAGCTGCTGAAAATTCAAGGTTCCAAAAGAAGAAAGATCCTGTACCTAAATCACGATGCAACGGAAGGCGTAGCAGGATCTAATGTTGGAGATAATGAAAATGAAAGGTTGAAGGACTGCAATCCCAAACGGTACGTATTGATAAAGAAAATATTTCCATTTTAGATGTTGTCAGAACATTAAACCATCATATAGTGATCCTCTGTATGCCGTAACAATTCTTGGAATCGACCGACCTCATCCAGTGAAATCGACCGACCCCTTGGCCAGTGACATCCAAATGGCCAGCGTGTACCTACTGTGCCAAGTTGCCGAGCGTCACAACTTAAACCCCTCATTGTGACCAGGTGCCAAAGCCGTGCGGAACGGGCATGCATTTTACTAATGCACCATATGAATGCCCATAAATGCGTCACTAAAGGGCTTAGGAAAAGTAGAAGATAATTCTGAGCTAGCAAATTAATGATCGAGGAAGGTCCCACCATCATTGTGAATGGCATCATTGCCATAGTTTTAATTTTCAAAACAAATTTACGTACGCATCTGTTCAGTTTCAGCTGGAATTTTACTCGTTGTCAGCATAAAGCAAAGAAAGAAACGTTTCACTTTTTACGACAATCATAACAAAACAAATAATTGACAGCTATTTATTTCTACCTATGTGTGTGAATGTACTCGTGAATTAACATACACCATCATACACAGGTTCCACTTTTTCTCAGAAGAGGCGTTGCCGTTACTGTCTCCTGATTTTTGGCAGAGTTGCCAGTCTTCTAGATTTGTAGTCTTCGCACAGACAAACAGACATAACTCTCGTAAGTTGTTCATCGAACAAGCATTTAACGGACAATTTAAAAGTATCGTAGTTGGTAGTACCACCACCTGTGGCGCGCATAGTCAATTCCCTTGAGTTTGACGTTTACACACTACCGCCAACAATCAATACGAAACTAACGATTTTAAATTGGCTCACCACTTTAGTAGCCTATTGGTCCCAAGCAAACGATTAACGTACCCTATTCTAGTTGAAATTCTATTACTACACTATGTTTGTTTTGATTCGCTATGAAAGTTTGACAGATAACATCAGGGGTGTGTGGATTCATGCGGAACATGCAGGGGTGAGTGAAATAGCTTGGGACTGCTTGGGACCGTTGTTCTGGTACTGAGTGAGCCAAAAATAATAATGATTTTCTTCGGGACCCAGTGGTCTTAGAGTTACCTCTATGCTATCGCCATCTGTTCAGTGTAGTGCCCATCACAGTGTACTCAACAGATGGCGGTAATGTTTTAGCGACAATGTTTTACAGTGAGAAATATTCAATGTTGTCTGTTTGTCTGTGGTCTTCGCTTTTAACCAAATCTTTTTAAGATGTATGTGGTAAAAAGCAATCTTTGCGATCAACTGCTTGTTTTCACCATTCAAACTCATTTAAGTATCAGATCGATAGGTACAATTTCTACATTAGGTACAGACAGATGTTTTTGGTGTTCACTACTACAGTGTTGAGTATTTGACTTATTACCGTTAAGATCACTGATACAGTCGCGCCCGGAACCCCTTTGGATACGGTTGTGTTTGTTCTCTGTTTTGTGCGTGCGTTCGCTTTCATAGTTTTCGGCTGCATTTGCCGGATTAGCGCTGGCACTCTGCCTCCCGGACGGTTATACGTGTGTGAGTGGTGGTTTTCTCGCTTTCCGAGAAGTTTTAGAATCGAGAAAGAAACATGATTCATCATGTTTGCAAAATTGCAAGCATCAGAAGATTTGGTGCTGCGTGGTTTGATTTTTTCTCCCGGACCAGAAATTTGTGGCATCGCGAGTGAAAATTTTAATTTCAGTTTATGTATGCGCTGCAAGGTGCGTGAAAGAGTTGGCACGATCGGTGTTGATGTTGGTACACTTGCAACTATTTTTTGCAAAAATAAAAAAAAATTAAGTAGGTACTTTGACTATATGTTTTTAATATTACTTCTACGTGAAGTCAACGATTTGCAAAAAAAAAATAAAGTTTTTTTCGAAAGTAATTGATATCAAAAGTGTACCAAAAGTGCTTCTGAACGTGTTTCGCAGTTGGGTGTGGTGAAATTCGTGGTTGTTTTCAGTGAAAATTCCGTATCACAAATTTGCTCACCGAGTTCCTTTTTTTTTGCCGTTCGACGACATCGGGAATGCGCTCCCGGATATATTGATTTGGTGAGTACGTTCTAGTTGAGGATTGTTCTTGTACATTTCTCGATTGCATTTTCGAGGGGACGTGTCTGCTTTTATGGGCAGTGCGTTTGATGGTCGGTTTGGTAGTGGTATCCTTTTAAATATAATGTCTCATGTCCAAATAACCTCGATTTTCGGTCTATTGATTGAATACTTTAGTATTATATTTTCAAAACATACAATGATGAATTATGTCATTTCATGGCACATAAAACATAAAGTGTGTGTATAGGACCCAACAATCTAGGTTATTTGTATTTTGTAAAACATCTTTATTTTTTATTATATTTTTCATTTTACTACATATTTTATATACATTACATATCACATGATTATATATAAATTCATAATGTAAATTACAATAAATAATGGGACGGGAGGGAGCATCAGGGCATCATTGAAGTTGTAACTGGACAATGGAGTGGAGTGCCAACCGGAGTCTAGGAGGGAATGTGTACTGTCATTTTAGATAGTTACATTTCACTCCAACAGTTGCAATGAATTTGACGCGCTCTTCTTAAACAAATCATCCCGTGGAAAGCTTAACATGCATTGCGAATTTCGTTATTCATTTTGTTGGATCATATTGTTGGAAGGAGATTCTCTTATTCCCGCGGGTTTCGCGTAAGTGCCTCTGCTTACGGGCCCGTCCAACCCTTTTTGGCCCTTCATACAGCAGTATGTTGAATTCAGAATGATGATGGATCTTGATCTTGCTGTTGAGTGGAGCCGCATGCAGGGCAAGACCCAAGCTAGGATGGTGGCTACTTACATACATACATACATTACCGTTAAGATCACTGATACAACTATGCAAAATTGAAGACAATGAATAAAAAAGAAAATTAAAAAATCGTCAATTTGAATGGAATTGCTCCTTCAGTAAGGGTCGCTAGTTTGAACATCATATCACTTTTATTTAGTTCTAGCTCAATATTCATCAAATGAATTTTTTAGTTTTGTTAGTAACGATACCTTTTCATGGTATCACATTGGCGTGCACAAGGTGGGTAAAAATTTTATTTCCATATTTACAAAGTTATGATATAAAATATGTTGATATTCCCAAAAATCCAGTCACCACTGCAACAGACAATATGAAAACATAAAAAAAAACTCGCTTCATCGTATGATCTTATGAAACCAATATGCCTTTTTTTTTGCCTGAGTGTAGAGCCTTGTTGGATTACATGTTTCAGATAGCTGCTTCTCACTCTGCAGTCATGGAGCCCTAAAGCTGACGCGATTGATAAGCCGCATCCTTGAACAAGTTCGATGTTCTCAAACCAGCAACCATTTCAAAGAATAAGGAGGACATTCAATAATTAGCTAAAATGTGTCACTGTTGAGCCTATATCTAGGGGAGTTCAAGTAAGGTAAGATTGATTTTTCTACTTCTGCGGTTTGTTATATCTGCCATTAAATATGCAAAGGATGTTGTTTCTTTGAACAAACAATACAAAGTTTAAAATTTGTGCCATCTTTATTGAAGACTCATTCAAAATAAAAAAAAAAGCATCACACATCACACAAGAGTAAAATGTATTCCTTACTTGGAATGCGCTAGTGCCTCTCTGGAGGAAAGGCCATCATTTTCATTCATTACGAACTAAGCTTAATCTGATCAGTCAACGGTTTCCGAAATTGTTTTCGATAATCTCTTTTTCGCGCCAGATCCTTCGCTGGTCCACGCCTTGCCGTCCTTGAGCGTGCTTGCCGTGCGCAAATCGTGCACCGCGAGGGCCTTTTTCGAATCCTGCACAAATTCCATCAATCCGCGGGACATGTAGTACGGCCTGCTGATGCCATCGTTCGACTCGCAATCCTCACAGAAACACAGAAATATGGTGTCGACAGTCATCTGGCGGATTCGAGTAAATTTCATTAGAGTCAAGATTACGAATGGAATGTATTATGCTGCAATTACCTCATATACCGTCATGAAACAATGCGCCACTAGGTAAGCAAAGATGCCCACTAAGATTATCGGAACGTAAGGGTGATGCAGTCCGGTTTTCTTCTGTATAAGCTCCATTCCGACGAGACAAGTGACGACCACTACAAATACCTTGGCGAGGATCAGTACAAAGTCTCCAACCGAGTTGATCGCAAAAACTCGCAGTGCATTGTTGGTCAACAGTCGGAAGGCATTTTTTCCTGCCCTACAGAAGGAATCGCCGTGCATTGCAGTCATGATGTAGGCGTTTCGGGTTAGGTATTGGAGAAACTTTTCGAAACAGCTCAAGCAACATTGGCAGCACTCGAAGATACAGTTGGTCACTTTATTTTGGCGATCCCGAACGTAGTACTACAATGATTTCATAGGTTTGAATTAACACATTCAGCCAGAAATGTACGAAGACACTCACCATCAATAGTTTCAATGTTGCTCTTAAGAACTGCACCAACGCTATTATGAACGATCCCAGTGCCACCGTTCCCATGTGATACCGCAGCAAGTTGGCAAAACTCTTCAGAATTGGACTTCCCAGTTTCGACTTATTCCGCGTGAAGAACCAACAGGCTACCGCTCCGGCAATGACCATGTGCTGGCATCCGATGATGAATTGACAAAACCAGAAGAACGCCAGCAGATTGTACCATCGGGTGAAGAGCATCGTCGAGTCCTTAACATATTTTGCACTTTGATTGTTCTCCACTTTTAGCATCCCCGAGCTTTCGACCCACATGGTAAAGTACACATACAAAGCAATTACCACCGCAATAGATATAAAGGTCTGAAAGTTAAAGTTTGATTAAAAATTGTACCAAAAATAAACGTTTTCCTTGTCTTACCAATATAGGCTCGAGCAGTAGGAAAGGCATATTGGAAATGGCCTTCCCCGCTTCGCGAAACAGTTGCACCACCAGCCGAATCCTTTTCCTCATCACCAGTATGATCAAGTACACGATAACGGTGGCAATCGTTGCGGCGATTGCGTAGTACAGGTAATTGTTGGTTCTCATTTTTGCTCCCTCGCCAGCTTGATCGGGCATGTTCTGCTTTTCCCAGTCCCACTTGACCCAGAGCCAGATGGTTCCCACGGTACACACGACTATTACGGCCAGCAGCACAAACCACACGATAAATCCAGGTAGGAACCGCAGCAGCACCAGTGTCAGCAGGGAGAAGGCGAATGCTACTGCACAGAGCCACAGCATTTCCATGTAGCACGATTCAATGTCCTCCGATACTTCCTGGAAGAAGTTTCGCAACCCGGTACGGGTAGCCACATCATTGGTAGGATTTTCCTTGCGTATGCACCGATTCAGGAATGGTTTACTGTGCAGAAAGAAAGTGAAGCTGGGTTATTCGGATCCAGTGAAGTTAGTGACGACTGTCTTACTATCCTTCGACGTCTTCACATTTTGAAACGCACTGCCGGTGCAGATCGGTTGAGATGCCGGACGTCTCCACCAATAGGTACTTCTGTTCGGTGCGATCTGTGCCCTGCAATGTAGAAATTATTAAAACTGATCGACTTTGGATTGTAATGCAGGTTCATGATGGTGTAAGAATTTGATGCTTTCATTGCAGGTAGGTATCCCTGCACTACACTTGTTTTTAATCTCTCCCAGTAGATTCTTGCTCTACGTCCATATGGGAAATTAAGCCTGCTCTCAAATGAATGTTCTTATAGCATTTTCGTGCTTGTTGTTTGAGAGCCGTTGCACGGTTTTATATGTTGTGTGCGACAATCACACTGATACTCTATGGCCAGGGAAATCGAGATAATTTCACCCCCAAAGATCTTCAACATAATCTTGAAATAGCGGCAGTGACGTTTTCCTATATATTATGTTCAATTTACAGTAATGATCCGATTACTGTATATTTTGGTAGCAGCTTTTTGAAAATCTTTTCTAATGTTCTACGAAACCCATGCGCTTTCTCAGTGGTCTAAATGCACCTTAAACATCCACCTTGAATGATGTGGAATTAAGGTTATCTGAAACCTGAAACTATTGAAAGATTAAAATCTGATGCGTGCAGGGGCTGACTAAACCGGGTCATTACTATAATATATGACCAAGCCTTGTGTACCTACCCCTACTTGAATTCCACGGAGTAATCCTCGTTCATTACAAACGTGCATCAGGTTATGGATTTATACGGTAAAATCGATTTCCCTATAGACCTCAATTAGGTCACATAATCTACCATCGGAACACATTTTTATGAACCTGCCACACTAGGATCCATCTGTGCTACCCACCTAAATATGACAGCTTTGAATCGTACAAGTTGTTGGTATATCCTACATATCAACCAAATTGTACCATACTCTGAACTTATAACTTACCTTGCACGATAGATCCTTATCCGGTTTGTTGTCCCGTCCACATACGTTGGCACAGTCATCGTAGCCATTTATTATGCGATAGATATCACCAAATGCCATACAGTAGATAATGAGTACCAACTGTAGCGTGGTACCCCGCCGGAAACCGGACCGGGGAGAAATTAGATGTAGGCCATGCCATGTCAGTCGTGCATTTGGGAACGGAGTAAGGGAGGAAAATTAGAGCACGGAGACACAGATTAGTTCTACCCATGTGAATAGCCATTAATAATGCATGCCGGCGTTGGATTCATTCATTGGTCACGGTGAGCGTTTGTGACAATGGTTTGGGTGGTGAATGCCAGCGTGTTGTAAATGACCAATAATTGCAGTTGACTTTTTGATGGGTTATTTCAATAAAGTTAGCGTTTTTGGTTTTGGGAATTATCTAATGAAAATTGAATTATGAGTATCAACAGATGGCATACATACCAAAATTAGAATAAACGCTGCCTTGACCGCTATAAATAGGATATCAGTGCAGTGACGATCATTTTCGTACAGGTTTGTGTCATCTTTGTTGGGTGACGAGGATGCAGAATGCTGTAATGATAACATAGAGCAATATGTAAAATTTAGGGTGACCAGCAGGGCTGTGGAGTCGGAGTCGGCGGATTTTTTAGCATAAGGAATCGGAGTCTGAGTTATTATTTATTTATTTATTTATTTATGACTAAACATCCGCAGGCATTATTCGCCCCGATGATGTAACTTGATGTAACTGATCTAGAAAAAACAGCCCAGTGGCAGGCAACATGTTATACCGTGACAGCGGGCCCAGCACAGCAAAATAAACGATTTGAGCCCGGGACATGCTGCCTACTGTCAACCGCTGCTGTTGGTATAGGCCTTGTCACTGGCCTTAGAAAAAACGAACTAAACCTCCGGCGAAGCAGCTGGCGAGTCAGGTCAAAGTCAAATAGTGCGGAGACTCTATTGAAGAGTCTCTGTAAACCATCGATTGCGCTGAACATAATTAGTTCGCTGTATGGGCAGGCTGAATTATTTGTTCTGTGTTGAACATTGATGTCAATAAGCTCAAGGAGAACAGGGCAATCGGTGCGTCCTTGCAAAATATCTGCAATTAGCAATGCCCTTGCTGTATCACTTCGGACCGACAGGGGCTCCAGATGGATCAGTTGCAAACGACTTTCGTAGCTAGGCAATCGGAAGGGATCCGTCCACGGCAGTTTACGTAGCGCATATCTCAGGAATCGTCGCTGAACAGACTCAACTCTTTCGACACCTTTCTTGTAGTGAGGAGTCCAGACAACCGAACAGTATTCTAATTTGGAGCAAGACAAGGAGCAGTACAACCATAGAGGTAACTCTAAGACCAGAAGGTCCCGAAGAAACGTGCTCAACTTTTTGGCTCAGCTCTGGTACTCTCTTCGGTCCCAAGCTAATCGATGCACCCCTCGAAACATAGGAAAATTTGCGAACCCCTTATTTTAACTGTCATACTTTCATAGCAAATCAAAACAAACATAGTGTAGTGCTAGAATTTTGACTAGAATGGGGTACGTTAATCGATTTGCTTGGGACCAATAGGCTAGTCAAGTAGTGAGCCAATTTGAAATCGTTAGTTGCCACCGGTTGGTACAACGATTTAAGGCATTAGATATCCGTGAAGGCTTTGGTAATCCTGAAGATAAACCCTAGAACTCTGGAAGCTTTATCAACGGCATACGAGATGTGCTGCTTGAAAGAGAGTTGTGTATCCATAATCACATCTAGGTCCTTAATATGGCTGACGCGCTCAGTGCCTAACAAAACATACTTGAACATAATAGCAACCGGTGGAAACTAACGATTTTAAATTGGCTCACTACTCGACTAGCCTATTGGTCCCAAGCAAATCGTTTAACCAACAATCAATACGAAACTAACGATTTTAAATTGGCTCACCACTTTAGTAGCCTATTGGTCCCAAGCAAACGATTAACGTACCCTATTCTAGTTGAAATTCTATTACTACACTATGTTTGTTTTGATTCGCTATGAAAGTTTGACAGATAACATCAGGGGTGTGTGGATTCATGCAGAACATGCAGGGGTGAGTGAAATAGCTTGGGACTGCTTGGGACCGTTGTTCTGGTACTGAGTGAGCCAAAAATAATAATGATTTTCTTCGGGACCCAGTGGTCTTAGAGTTACCTCTATGGTTTAACGTATCCCATTCTAGTCGAAATTCTAGTACTACACTATGTTTGTTTTGATTCGCTATGAAAGTTTGACAGATAAAATGAGGGGTTCGTGGATTTTCCTATGTTTCGAGGGGTGAATCGATTAGTTTGGGACCGAAGATAGTACCAGAGCTGAGCCAAAAAGTTTAGCACGTTTCTTCGGGACCTACTAGTCTTAGAGTTACCTCTATGATAATAGTCTCTTTCTTGCGCGAAAAAGAGATAACCGAGCATTTCGACGGGTTAACCTCCATATGATTCAGAATACACCAATCACCAAAAGCATTCAACTGACGTTGAAGGAAGCAACAGTCTACAATTGAGTGAATTCCAAGAAAGAGTTTCAGCCTAGAGGTAACTTAAGACTAGTAGGTCCCGAAGCAACGTGCTCAACTTTTTGGCTCAGCTCTGGTACTATCTTCGGTCCCAAGATAATCGATGCACCCCTCGAAACATAGGAAAATCTATAAGGCATTTTACGAGACGTTTCGAATCAGCTGTTTTTTTTTCTGTTTACCTATTTTGACGTTTACCAGCGGGCTGATTTGTTGACATACCACGACCAAAATCAAAACAACATCAGACGTAAACAATAACAATGCCTCGAGCACGTTCGAGCGGCCCGCCAGGAACGGTCATCAAGACGTCACGTAAATAGCTTATTAGCCCCTCATTTTATCTGTCAAACTTTCATAGCGAATCAAAACAAACATAGTGTAGTACTAGAATTTCCACTAGAATGGGGTACGTTAATCGATTTGCTTGAGACCAATATGCTAGTCAAGTAGTGAGCCAATTTAAAATCGTTAGTTTCCACCGGTTGGTTTAAGGTCATCTGCGTAAGATAATCGTGGTCCCTCAATAGCCACATTCACGTCGTTGGAGTTAATCAGGAAAATAAGCGGTCCCAGGTGACTACCCTGGGGTATGCCGGACGTGGCAGCGAACATACGGGACTCGTGATCACCAATGAGGTACGACTGAAACCATAGCAAAAGGCAGCCGTGGATACCAAGCCTGTCCAGTTTTGCGATGGATATGCGGTGATTCAATTTATCGAAGGCTGCAGATAAGTCAGTACATCCGTCTGAGCATGATCCGACATACTGTTAGAGATGTAGGAAGTTAGGCACAGCAAGTTAGTGGCAGTGGAGCGACCAGCCATGAAACCATGCTGGTCAGAGTTGAAGAAACAGTAGCAACTCCGACTCCGATTGTTATGAAAAAAAAAATTGCAACTAGAACCTAATTCGATTCATCTAATCTAAAATCTAATCTGTAAAATAATTCGGTTAGATGACGCCTTATCATTTTTTCTTGTCAATATTGATGTTTGCAGAATATCTGAGACATGACGCAAAGATGATTCTGCGAAATGACTAGATTTCAAATAAAAATATTTAAACAACCTAATTTGATCGATCCCAACTAACAACTTTAGCTGCAGATAAGGTTTATACCGGCAAAATTTGCCTAATACAGCTAATTTTTGACTGTATAATAGGAAAAAAATACCATAGAATAAAATACAACAACAATATCTATTGCCAACAGTCGATATGACTGTATGTATATCATACAAGTAAATTTAATATATTGTTATTACAATAGATCTACGATGGATCGAAGTGTGCTCTGCTTCAAAACGAACGCGAAAAAAATTAAGCTGTCAAATTGCTCGTATAATTATGTTTTGTCGCGGTTTTTCAAATTTTATCTGACGATGATTTGCCAGTTTTGAAAATCGATAAGGTTTCTGAAGAATAGTTTTTGTTTTTATGGCCGAAAGAAGGTTTTTTTCCAAGTGCATTTATGACCGGTATTCCATTGGAAGTTTTTTTTTGGTTCCATTGGAAGTTAGGTATTTTCGGTTTTGCATTGTTTTATACCAGAAGCTTACAATCAACTGGACAGGATTACTGGATATATTGGATTGATATGGTTCATATTATTTCCGTTATTATCCATTTTACATACCATTTATTACATGACATATTATATATTGACTTACATTTATATAACTCGGAGCATTTGGTACGGTATGTCCATAGAGGTAACTCTAAGACTAGAAGGTCCAGAAGAGACGTGCTCAACTTTTTGGCTTAGCTCTGGTACTCTCTTCGGTCCCAAGCTAATCGATTCACCCCTCGAAACATAGGAAAATCTACGAACCCCTCATTTTATCTGTCAAACATTCATAGCGAATCAAAACAAAATTGTGTAGTACTAGAATTGGGTACGTTAATCGTTTGCTTGGGACCAATAGGCTAGTCAAGTAGTGAGCCAATTTAAAATCGTTACTTTCCACCGTTTGGTATGTCCAGGCATCCTTCCACCCCTAAGGATTCAAGAAATCTCGAGTAACATTTGAAGTGGGCCTATGTCCAAAACGTAAACAAATCGGGTTTTGATACCATTCTTTAGCACCGTTTGATAGCCACTAATCGTGTAGGAAAATTCCGCATAATCGAGAAAAATCATTAAAAATAACTCAATTTTCGAAACGGCCGATCAACGAAATTTTTCGATTCATTAATAGGCCCGCATACAAAAACGGCCAACCATTCATTTATTTCATTTTATTGATAAGCCTATTGTCGTAGAAGGGCCGATGATTGAAAATTTTCAAACCAAAGCTAGGCCCTACTGGTTGAGGCAGGGCCGATGATTTGTTTTGAATTTATTTGACGTTGCGAAAAGGCTTAGCAAAGGGCGTACCATTCGTGATGACAAGCACATCGGCTAAAAAAAATGGGTCTATCCATTGAAAGACTCACAAAAAGGCTTATTAATTTATGAAATTAAATTGTTATCCATTTTCATATATTTTTGAAAGCTTTCCGCATATTTTGGAGGTGGTATACTGAGATGCAGTTACTTCAATTTTCTTAAATATGAATTGAATAGTGGTGGAAAAATTTAAAATTCATTTTCTGGTTTGTTTACGTTTTGGACATAGGCCCTTTTCAAATGTTACTCTATAAATGCGTTGTTGTTTGAATGTTTTTATTTAAACACGAATCATTCCAAAGAATCATCTTTGCGGCAAATGCAACGCAGTAGGCCTGGCCGTTTAGATGTGTGTATCATATCTCAGATATGCTGCCAACATCAATATTGACAAGAAAAATGATTAGGCGTCATCTAACCTAATCATTTTCCAGGATGCTTTCTCGTACTGACTGTGTTTGTATTAGATTAGATTAGATTATATTGTTATTACAATTAATCTACAATACGTCCCATATAGTATGAATTTTCAACAATAGAAAACAATAAAATGTATGATATAAAATGACTCAAGTTTGTTCGGGAAAAAGTAATTTTCTGTACGATTAAGATACATAACAACGCCTT